ATCTGATATTGAACTCCAGTCGGTGTGAGAGACCACAAACTAAAACTTGTTCTATAAGGCCATGTCTACACTACGAGATGAGGTCGAATTTATTAAGGTTGATTTCTTGCCACACATGTTGCAAAGTCGAAGGTCGATGTCCCCACTCTGCACAAGAATTCAATGTAATTCGAAGTAGCGCATCCTCAGTAGGGAGACTGCCATGATATTGAACTCCAGTCGGTGTGAGAGACCACAAACTAAAACTTGTTCTATAAGGCCATGTCTACACTACGAGATGAGGTCGAATTTATTAAGGTTGATTTCTTGCCACACATGTTGCAAAGTCGAAGGTCGATGTCCCCACTCTGCACAAGAATTCAATGTAATTCGAAGTAGCGCATCCTCAGTAGGGAGACTGCCATCAACATGGAGAAGACAGCACTGTGGATCACTATCCCACAGTGCCTGCGTTGCTTTGCATTCTGGGTTATGCTGCTAGTGCAGGCTGGGACCAAAACTATGCTGCGGGTGGTTCTGGGTTCATGTGCTCATCTACTACCTCCCCCCTTGCTTCAAATCAATGGAAAACAGTCTTTTCGTGCCCTTTTTGGACCTGGTTACCTGGGCAGATGTCATAGCAGCATGAGCATGGATCTTGTTTTGCATCAAACCATTGTGATGTTGACGTCTACCTTGGCATGCCTACTGGTGCAGTATTTCGAGAGAGTGCGTGTCACTCACCAGGAAGAGGATGAATCTTGGGATCCTATGGATGCACTATATAGGAAAGCCTTGCACTGATTGAATGCAGCCAGCAGTCAGTTCTCTGGAAACAGTGGAGTGCCAGTTCTGGTGCATTGAGACAAGCACAGACTGGTGGGACCACATAGTGCTGCAGGTATGGGAGGATCAGTGGCTGCAAAACTTGTGAATGCACGAGGCCACTGTCATGGAACTTGTTAATGGCTTTCCCCTGCTTTGAAGCACAGGGACACCCAAATGAGACCCATTCCAATAGTAGAGAAATGCATGACAGTTGCCCTGTGGAAGCTTGCAATGCCAGACAGCTGGAAATCAATTCAGAGTAGGAAAGTTTACAGTGGGGTTGCTGTTATACGGATAACCAAAGCAATCAATACCACTCTGCTATAGAAGGTAGCAACTTTGGGAAACATGGATGCCACAGTGGCAAGCTTTGCCATGATTGAGTTTCCTAACTGCGGTGTGGCAATAGATGGAACACACATTCCAATCGTGGCACCTGACAACCTTGCCAAGGGGTACATAGACTTCAAGGGGTACTTTTTGATGGTGTTGTAGGTGCTGGTGGATCACAAGGGCCATTTCACTGACATCAACGTGGGATGGCCAGGAAAGGTACATGATGCGTACATCTTTAGCAATTCCTACCTCTTCTGAAAGATGCAGAATGGCACTTTTTTCCCAGAGAGGAGAATCAGAGTCGGAGAAGTGGAAATGCCTGTTGTGATCCTTGGCAACTGAGCCTACCACTTGCTCCTGTGGCTCATGAAGCTATATACAGGCAGCCTGGACCCCAGTAAGGAGCATTTCAACTACAAGCTGAGCAAGTGCAGAATGGTGCTGAATGCCCGTTTGGATGTTTAAACAGAATGTGTAGGAGTCTACCAACTAGGTTGGACCCTCAGCAAATGCAACATTCCCTTTGTGGTTGCAACCTGCTGTGTGCTTCGTAATACTTGTGACAGCAAGGGGGAAAGTTACCTGGCACAGGGTGGGGGAAACGGGGAAGGAGGCTAAAGAACAGTGCCAGAGATTTTGAGCAGCCAGACACCAGGATAAGGAGAGCACAGCTCAGGGCAGTGCAAATCAGAGAGACTTTGAAAGAAAGCTTTATGAATGGCCTATTTTGAGAGTCACGCATGTTCCTCTCAACAAGATGTCCCTGCACTCACTGTCTTCGCCAATAATCTCCCACCCCACCCCTGCAATACAAGCAAATAGACTGTTCAGAGATCAGGCATTTTTATTTAAGGAAGACTGAAGGGACAGAAAAGAAGTCCATGGTGGGACCTAAAATAGGGGAGGCATCAGAAATGTGAGGATAGCCTTTTGCCTCCCAAGGCCCTGCAGGTTGAGTGTCCTTTCCCTCCCTTTTCTTCTCCAACCCCGTGTCCTGGGGTCCCTCCTGGTGGAGACGATAGAACTGGGTGAGGAGGGAAAGTTGTTTTGCACATGGCGGGAAGGTTTCTAGGGGGGGAAGGTTCTTCTCCAGGCACACTGCCAGGTGCTCCATCACAGCCGTCAGGGAGGAAAAGACATTCTCCTGTTGCTTTGCTTGCAGTTCCCTGCACGTGCTCCTGTTCTGCTGCTCTGCTATCCTGTCCTGCCGCTCTGCTTGCATTTCCTCCAGGAGCGTATTCCTCCACTTCATTTGCTCCGTAAACATGTCTTCCCTTGTCCATTTTCGCCTGTGGATTTGTGCGAGCAAGACGGCTGCTGGAGCCGAGGGAGTGTGCAGCAAGCTCCCTGCTGTTCCTGCTGTAACGAAAAGTTACTAGGGCACACATTACATGAGGTACATTGTGGAGCCTAAAACCTAATCTGTTAACATACTGTGAAGGTCTCTATAAAGACAATGGAGATGGGTTCTGTGCAAGGCCAAAGTTATGCTTTTAAGTGGCCACTGTACAGTGTGTATGCAGCAGAGTTCTCAACAGAATATCTAGACTCACTCAGGCATGGTAAGGGGGGCCTGCCAGGACACAATCCTGTGGGTGGGAGGGAGGATGTGGTCTGGTCGTGCCAGCAGGCCAGTTGCTCATGCAGCTTCCATCCTCTCTGCCACACTGCTTCCTGAAGGAGTGCTACTTTCCTATCCCACAGGAATCTATGGGTGGGAGGGCAGAAGGGAGGGAGTGCCAGAGGCTGATGCCAGTCTAGAAGCAGAGGTGGCACTTAATAGCTTCTCCTCCATCAAGGTTGCATGTGAGATATCAGTCTTCTCTGAATCTGACAGTGATAGGGAGCTGATGCTGAGTGAATGTAGCCAGAAACCTGGTCCTTATGCTATAATACTTTGTGCTGCAATGACGTCAGACCACTTACTAGTGGCTTGGCATGGGGAGTGTCCTATCATTGAGGACGAATAAGGACGGACTCCCCAGAAACCTGTGAGAAGTATCAGACTGAGAGCTTTATGGAGATATGCAGGGCGGATTCCTGCTCCATCTCTAGACATATTAACAAGCTCTGTCAGGACCCCTGCACTGTGTGGGTCTAGAGTATTCCACGCATCACTCCCAATTCCTTAACCCACTTATAGCAAGAAAAAAATCTATGAACTCACCAGAAATGCCCTCCCTGGGATCAGTGCCCAACTGTGAGACATCCCAGGAGGCAGGGATTGTCTCCAAGGTTATGAAAAGTTCTTGATTCTCGCAGCTCACCAGCTGGCCATTCTCGTCCTCTTCCTCCTCCTCTCCCTCCACCACACTGTCCTCTACACTGCTGCCCTGATTGTCTTGGGTGGATTACATAGCCTGGTTGGGAAGCTGGTCAGCTCCTCTCCCTAGGATTACATGCAGCTGGCTGTAGGAGCAGCGTGTTTGGCGCAATGCTCCAGACTGTCCATTTGCCTCCTTTGCTTTGTGATAGGGCTGCTTCAGCTCCTTTGTGTTAACATGGCACTGCTGGGAGTCCCTGGAGTATCCTTTCTCCACCGGGCACTTTGCGATCTTCGTGTAGGTATCAGCCTTTCTTTTGCTGTTTTGGAGCTCCAAGAGAATGGATTCCTCTCCCCATGCCTTGATGAGGTCCAAGATCTCCTGCAAACTTCAAGCTGGTGCTCTTTTGTGCCCTTGGAAACTGGCGCTCATGCAACTTGAATTCATGGAACTCACGGCCACATGTACTGCTCAGGTGTGCTGTCTGCTCTGAGGTGTGCTTGCAATGCTGGCCACATGGGAAATGAAATTCAAACTTTCCCAGTGCTTTTCCTGTTCACCTGGAGAGCAATAGAGGCATGAGTTCTGGCCAGAGCAGTCCGAGTGGGGCACTGTGAGATGCCTCCCAAAACCCAAGAGCATCAGCTTTCTCAACGCTGGGTCTACACTACCATGAATTGAATCGTGCAAGATCAAACTTTATGTAACTCCTTGTGAAAAGCAGGAGTACCAAAGTCAACTTCAGTGACCCTTAAAGTCAACTGAACGGGCTTATTAGTGTGGACTCACTGTTTAGAAAATCGACCTTATGCAGCTAAATTCGACCGAAACTCCTAGTTTAGATCAGGCGCTAAAAGAGAGTTATGCTAAAAGAGAAATCTCACCACATCTTGAATATGAAAAGGAAAGGTACACTGTTTCATCTGAAGAAGTGGGTTGTGTCCACAGAAGCTTATGATACTACATTTGTTGTTAGTCTTTAAGGTGCTGCAGGACCATTCATTGTTTTTTCAGTTTTTTCAGTTATAGACTTAACACACCTACCCCCTGATACTTTTTTTTTAAAGAGATCATTCGCTGCTGCTTTGACCATGATGTTACAGACTCTTAAGGCAGCCTGCTGTTAATCTTCATCATGACAAAAGATTAACAGAAGATTGCCTTAAGTTTTCATAATATGCTATATATTTGAGAGAGTGAGTGTGTGTATTTGTTCAAGAACACCTCCTAAATGGTAAGAACTAGGACCACCAAATTAATTACACAGCTTCCCCTTACCATAACTTAAAGCAAAGTAAGGATTTGGTTGTGCCAAGAAAATGGTATGTGCCTGGAATGGGATTGATTCACAGAACACCATACAGAAAAGAGACACGATCACCAGATAGGTGAAAGGGGCTGGTTGGGAGCATCCCTCTCTTCCTGGGTCCAGGACTGTCCAAACCTTCCACTCCCAGGTATCCTTTAGGGAGGAGGCTGACCCCCTCCATTCGTGCAAGGACATTGCTGACTCTTCCCCTTTGTCAGGGAGCCAAGGGGAGAGTGCACAATTTGCTATTTTTGTAGCACAGGCGGGGAGACAAACCTGGACCTGCCCCAGCCAGGGGTCATGTACCACTGCCCTGGCTGTGCCAGCTGGAGCTGCAGCAGCCATGGAGAGGCACTTTTCACCTGGCCCCCAAGCTGCTATGGTGAGAGGGAGCTGGAGTAGTTCTCTTCTCTCCTCCCTCCAGGGCAATCTGCATTCTAAACCCCTCATCCACAGCCCCACCACAGAGCAATGATTTAAATGAAGCATGTACATATTCATTTTATTTTCCAAAAAACAAAAATTGAGTTAAAGACCCAAGCACCACCAGGTTAATCTTTTAGTTTAATGTATTTGGGGAGGTGGTGAGGAATGGCATAGTGAGGTAGCAAAATTCACAGATGATGTAAAGTTACTTATATTCGTCAGGATCAAAAAAGAGTATGAGGTTCAGAAAATAAATTGAATGTTGTTAAATATAAAGTAATCATATTATTAAAAAAAAAAAGAAATAACTCATACACCATAAAGCAGGGGTGTATTTTTTGTATTGGGGGGTCACTGACCCACAGAAAAATGAGTCGTAGGCACCACACAAGTGAAAAGCCAAAAAAAAAAAAATTCTCTTGACAGAGAAGAAGAAAGACACTCCCCACCATCCCCTCACCCACCAGAGTCTAAGGGGGCGCACCCTAGTAGATTCTCTGTGCTCCAGCCCTCAGACTCCCCAATGCTGGAGGGTGGCCCTGAACCTTGGGGGCCAGATCCAGGCAAGCTGGAGGCCTCATCTGGCTCCTGGGCCTTAGGTTGCCCACTCCTGTCATACAGCATTCAAAACAAATTGTATCTACTTAAGAAAAGGGTCCGGGTGTCCTTGTAGAAAGTTAAGTGAAGATCTCTCTACTCAATGTGCAGCTGTAGTTAAAAAAAAAGCTGTTAAGATACTTAAAGAATAGAATGGCTCATAATTCTTGTAATCGCTTTCTATAATCAATAGTGCAGTGTCCTCTAGAATACTGTGTGAGATACTGGTCATGCCAACTCAGAATTGATATTGCAGAATTATAGGTGGTTCTTAAAAGAATGACAAGAATGATCAAAAGCATGAAAAATCCTCTAGTATGAAGAGAGGGACTGAACTGGAATTATTCCCTTACAATTGAGATAAATAAGTGAGGATGTGATAAAATTATATAAGTAATTAATTGTAAAGAGATTCAAAAATGTATTTGATATTTATATGGATAACAAGAATATCCAGAATTATAATTAACCTTTTTGGAGGGGATATTCAGTCTGTGTTTCATGGTTTACACCTAGCTTTACATTTTAGGAATCTGTATCAGATTGCACAGATAGAGCACAGATTATCCCATATATGTCTGTTGCAGGAGCTTTACATCTTGTTTAGAAGTATTTTGTACTTTAAAACTGGTGTGGCATTTTTTGTCTAAATATTTTTTTAGTAGGATTTTTTTTTAATTTTGGAAAATAGGTTTGTTCTAAAATTTTATTTTGTATTTTTGTTTTTATATTTATATTTTTTATTTTAACATTTTTATTGTGCAAATAGTAGTGATGCATATAATATACATTATTCCTACTGATATGTCATAATGACACAGTTGAAATATTCTATTTTTGTTTTATTATATTACAGTTCTTAAAAGGAGCTGCAACTTAATATAGATTGATCTAGAAAAGAAGATAAAATGTTTACCAGTACCAACTAGTGACTATGCTTTGAGGCAGTGGTCCCCAACCTTTTGAGGTTGTCGGGCGCCAGGGGGCGTGGCCGTTTGCCCGCCGGGCGCCAGGGGGCGGGGACACTTGCGCGCCCAGGGGCGGCCCCCCCCCATAGCTGCGCGCCCGGGGGCGGGGCCCCCCCATAGCTGCGCGCCCGGGGGCGGGGCCCCCCCATAGCTGCGCGCCCGGGGGCGGGGCCCCCCCATAGCTGCGCGCCCGGGGGCGGGGCCCCCCCATAGCTGCGCGCCCGGGGCCGGCGCTCCTCCCCACCCCCTCCCGCCGGGTGCCGCGCGCCCAGCGCTCCCCCCGCCAAGCGCCCGTGCGCCATGTGCCCGGGGCCAGGCCAGCCCCGAGCACCTGGCGGGCGCATTGAAATGCCCCCGCGGGCGCCGTGTTGGGGACCACGGCTTTGAGGTTTTAAAACAATAAAACTGAAAATATATTTAATTTTATGTCCTATTATGGCACCAGCCATTGGGTGTGTCATATTATTATAATTGGTATTCTATGAAATGTGAAAATAAAAATAAATGAGAGCATTTCAGAAAGTCAGAATTAAATTTTGAAATGTCAATATTTCCCATACTCCAGAAAGTCTGATTTGCTGCCAGTTGTATCAATGCTATCCCTGTAATAGACAGTATACTGGCCTAGATGGCCTGCAGAACTTTTATTAGGAGTGGTGATGCACATTCCAGGGAGGATCTTTCCTGGTTTACAAATTCCAAATTGATTTGCAGAAAGCTATATTAAATACATTTATTTGCCAGATGAAAAAAATTTCATCTGGAAATTGTCAGTGGAGTAATGCCATTTTTAGAGTCACTACCAAGAGTAAGCCTATGCCATATGATGGGCTTGTCTAGATGAAAAATTAGTATGTGGTAATTAGTAGTGAGTAAATCTACAGCTCAGTAACTATGTGGATCCTGGTATCTTGCACTAGAATTTCCCTAGTTTGCACAACCGTTAGATCTACTGGTTTGTCATGCCAGGTAAAACTATAGGTCACTTAACAAAAATTCTAAGTTACTTTCAGCATTAAGTATCTTGGGACAGATCCTCTGCTGCTCAGTGGAGAAGAAATAAGTATTCTTGTTAAGATAGAAATCCTCTGCAGCACAAGTTTCAGAATAGCATTTAAGATGTGTAATACTCAGTTCTTGATATCCTCTCTCAATGCTTGCTTTTGTGCTAAAGTAAAACACTTTTTAGATACCTATTTAATAATCTTTAAAGCTTAATTGAAAAGTAGGCATTGGTCCCTGTTAGCGGCATGAAAGAGCTCCCAGCTGCCATGTCCCCTGCCGCTGGCCTCCTGATCCTAGCAGAGCTCTTTCCACTTCTGAGCTCCCAATCTCGGGGCTGTCTTATCAAGGAACATCCATGGTCCTGCTGGACCACAAATGTTGCCAGACTAGAGTTTACAGAGGTACAACCTTTACACAAATTTGTTTAAACTTATAAATCATTGTGTTAGGTTAAAAATGTGAAATTTCAGTTTATCTAATGAAAACTTGCTTCATTTCTAGCTTCTCGGAAAAGACATAAAAAGGACAGAGATGATGATAAAGCTTGGGAATATGAAGAGCATGATAAGAGAATTTCTGGTGATCATAGGAGAAGTAGTCATTATCATGAAGGAAGGAGGACTTCTGGTAGTAGCCGTTATCGCAATCGTACTCCAGAAGACTCTGACATGGATGATTATTCTCCTCCTCCTAACCTTAGTGATGGTAATTCATCAGTATTAAAGTACATCTTCCTCAAAATAACCTTTCCATGTGTTTTAATATAAACATATAAAATGTGGTTAGGCTAATCTAAAAGTTTGTGTATGGTTACAGAATATTTTACAAAACTCAAACAAAAGCATTTTTTTAATAAATCTTCTTTTTAAACTCTTAATTTGTTTACTAGTGGCTAGAAAAATGAAGAAAAAAGAAAAACAAAAGAAAAGGAAGGCTTATGAACCTAAACTAACACCTGAAGGTAACGTTTTGGAAGGTTGAATTTGCTGTTTTCTTTGAGTTATATTGTCTGTTGTACATAACACAATTATATATAATTTTCTTTTTCACCAGAAATGATGGATTCTTCGACTTTTAAGAGGTTTACTGCTTCAGTAGAAAATATTTTGGAAAATTTGGAAGACATGGATTTTACTACATTTGGTAATATGTCAGATATTTTTCAACTGCTGTATCTGTTGTACAAAACCACATAAGGGCTTTACAAAATTTGCATCTAAGTCTTTTATTTTAGAACTTCTTTGTAATTTGGCTATCTCTTTTGGGCTGGGAAATATCTCCTTTCCAGCTGTCCTCACAGTTAAGCTCCTCCTCCACCATCTAATTGCTCTTCTTCTTCCAACCCTGGTTTCTTGCATGACTTAGAAGAGAGACAAGTCACAACTATGGGTATAATAAGCCGGGGAAGGACCCTGCCTCCGCTGGTGCTGTTCTGGCTGCCGGACCCAACATTTTGGGGCTTGGGATGAAGTTTTTCCTTTTATTATGCCCCCTGCAGGTTTTGGGGTGGCTGACAAGGCAGCTTCCTGGATTCCTCAGAAATCTTTCTGGAACCTCCATGAGGCATAGCAAAAGGGTCTTTGAAGAGAGGCTTTTCCCTAGGGGCACCTTGGGTTCAGGGAAGGTCTGGGAGGTGAGATGCTGCAGCTTGCCTGGAGCTCCTTTGGGGAAGTGTGTGGTATGCTCCAGGCTTTAGCCAGCCCTCTGGCTGAGGGAGGGCGTAGTTGGGGTTTCTTTGCATTGGGGCAGGGTAGGGAGGCCAAAAGGGGAAGAGCCAGGAACTAGCCTCTCCAAAATGGGGACCCATCATCCATGACCACAACAGATGCAAACCTTAAGATACTGAGGTGGGGAGGATATCCCAGATGTGAATATCTTCTGCCTTGCACCTTCCTTAATTGGTCATCAGCAGTGTGGATTGACGATGCTTTGGGAGCGAATGTTCCTAAGGTATTTAGTAGTGTAACTTTAATTGAAAAGTAATGAAATTTGTGCTCTTAAATCTCTGGGGTGCTTTTGAAAATCTTTCCTTACCCCAGCTAACACACTAAAAGCTGTATATAGCAAAGTTGAGTATTGCCATGTGGATATCTTAATGTATCTTTTCTTGCTCTTCTCTCTGTGAAAAATAAATAAAATAGTCTATCGCTTTTTCAACCTACACGTACAATCAGTAGCTTTTCAAATTACTCTGTGAAATGTAACTAAAAAGCTGGTTGGCAACTTTACAATGACACTTTGTCAGAAAATGTCAATTTGTCGAAACCAAAACTGTTATTTTGATAACATTTTTTAGTTTTAGGTTTGAAATGATATCTCATTTTGAAATTTCAATTAATTTATACCAAAAATGGTTAAAAATATATGTATTAGCATTGAAATAAAATGTTTTGATTAACTTAATCTGATTTTTTGAGGCTGGGGGGTTGGGAGGATATGGGGGAAGAGTAATCAGGAGGTAAAAATTTAGATATTTATTTTTTTACTCAGTTTGGAATGGGAAGTGTTTTTGAAATCTCACATAAATTTGGGATCTGAAAATTGTTTTCCAACTATCTCTAATTATAAACTTATAAATATTTTATTTTCTAAAACTTTCAGCAATGTTTTATACATTTTAAACCATTGATTGTCCAAAAGATTTAAATTGTAGCATTGCCCCCATCTTTCTTTTAGATTTTTTGGGGGGGGGGGCACTCTAATATTTTGCTGGGCATGTTAAAATACTTGAGCAAAAGATTTTCAGAAATGGGTGCCTGAATTTAGGCTCTTAAATTCATATTTGTACTCCAGAGTAAGCAACTTGTTTTTAAAACCAGTGAAGTTAAATTGGAGTGGATGTAAACTGCCTTTTTTTTTAAGGTGATGATGATGAGATTCCACAGGAATTGCTATTGGGAAAACATCAACTTAGTGAGTTGGGTAGTGAATCTGCAAAAATTAAGGCAATGGGCATCATGGACAAGGTATGTCTGATCTTAAAAACTAAAATGTATGTAACACTTGAGTGTTAAATGTATAGAATATTTATCGCTCTATAATCGTGTTCTTGCTATTTCCTGTTGTGTCTGTGCCTCAGTTTTCCTCCTTTTAGCTAGTGGTCCTTAGTGCTTTGTTCCACTGACATGATGTAGCTACAGAGTGATGTCAAAAAGCCATCCTTTTCAGAGTATAATAGGAGTCTTCTTTCCAGGCCTCTCACTGGATTTCCTTTTCTGTGGCCTTACATCCCTGTTAATACAGAGTTCCCCTCCTTGGGCTAAATACTAAGGGTATGTCTACGCAGCAACGTTATTTCGAAATAACTGACATTATTCAAAAATAACAGAGTGCATCTACACTGCTAGCTACTATTTCAAAATAATGTGAAGCTGGAGGACTTCTACTCTGACTCTTGTAACCCTCATTTTATGAGGAGTAAGAGAAGTCAAAGGAAGAGTGTTCTTCCTTCCAAGTCCCTGCTGTGTAAACCACTGCAAAAGCTGATTAAGCTATTTCGACTTTAGCTATGCAATTGGCATAGCTGAAATTGCATAGCTTAATTCAACTTTTGCCCTGCAGTGCAGACGTGTCCTATCTGTTCCCACAACAGGCTATGGCTTTCTTTTTTACCTGCTCTTGGGCTTCATTTCAGCATTTACCCGGTTGAAGCAGGTTGTTGGTATCATTCCTCTGAGATTAATACTCTCTTCCTAGTATGGGTCTCCATCCCTGCAATTCTGTATTATGGACATTTTGTTCTCAGCCTCACTACTTGTCCTGACTCTTACTTTCCGGAGCCATTTTTTATGGATTCCTTAGAATACAAACCCCTTCCTATGGTTTTCTCTATCCATAGCTCTGGTCCTCCTTTCTGGCTGGTGTCCCTACTTGTCGTCTTGGGCTGGGTGCATTTCCTCCCCAAATATTTCCAGGCCTCAACCTTTGCTCACTACAAATCTCTTTCGACCTCAGCTTCTGCTAGCTGGAGCTTTTGTCAGCTTCTACCTCATATTGACAAAATTGGTGTATATCGAATCCTGACCCGTCATTCACTTGTGGTCTACCTCTTATAGAATACGCTTGCCTTATATGTCTGAGTTCCCATAAGACCTGACCTAATGAATACCATTCTTAAAGGGGCCAGCAAGAGCCACTAATTTCTTGGTTTGGCCATTACAGTAGGTCATGTAGAACTACTTTTTATTTTCAGCACAGACCCCCTTTGAGAATAAAATACATATGCACCACAACGAAAACAGTATTGAAATTGTTTTGTGCTTGTCCACAAACTAAAATCAAAACTTTCTGTAGCAAACCAGGGTTCATCATCAGTGGTTTCCTCTAGCAAATTCTGGTTCCCGGCACCAGGAAGATAACAGTAATTAAACATTCCCATCCGTTTTGCTTGTTCAAAATGTAATGTAACCTAAATCTTTAAAATTACATTTTGATAAGATAAAATCTAGTGAATTTATATTCTGAAATTGATGGCAACATGAAAACTGAATTGACAAACCAAGTTCTCTCAGAACTACTAATAATCCCCCTATGTGTTGTTTAAAAAAGAGCTAATGGAATGATGTAGTTTATTTTTAATTTCTACTAAGATATCACCATTATTACTATTTCTTCATATTTAGTTTTATTATACGATCCTGACTGAGGATTCTGATCATAGCTTTGCTGTGCTAGAAATTGTACAAACACAAATTAAAATCCTACCTCAAGCATTTATAACTTAATTTTTACTCCAGAATTACACAGTGTGCCCTTCCATGCATACATTAATTACTTAAAATAATTTGTTTACAGCCTTTATGCTATTTTGATACAATTATTTTTATTTTAGCTTTCAACAGATAAAACAGTGAAAGTCCTGAACATCTTGGAGAAGAATATTCAAGATGGCTCAAAGCTTTCTACATTATTAAATCATGTAAGTTTCAGATCATAGTTGTTGGCTTCACAATATTTGATTAAAATATGCAGTTTTAATCTTAAGTGGCAGATTAAGATTTCCAAAGCAATTTTGCTTTTAACTGTAAAAGATTTCTAATTTAGTTCACAACATAATTAATAAAATTTCAGTGTTTGTAAGTTGTTGTAATTCCTCAAGGAAAGTGCCGCATGGAACCTGGGGTCAGCTAAGGACTCCTCAGCTGATCCCGGGTTCGTGGGGAGCCCGGGTTCAGATGGGGAGTGCCCAGCTGAGCCTGGGCTCCCCTGCCTCCCCTCGGAATCGCATGGAGGTGGCAGTTTCAAAGCTCCTTTGAAACTGCCGCCTCTGCACAATTCAAAGGGGCAGGAGAGCCCATAGCATGGAGCCCGGGCTCTATGGCTTTGAAATACACAAGAGCCCCCGCTAAGGACTCTTGTGCATTTCAAAGCAGGCACCCACATGCAGTCTGGAATCAGCAGGACTTCCTGCTGGCTCTGGGTTGTACATGGAGTTCCGCATTCCTCATTTGAAATGTACAAGAGCCTCAGCAGGGGCTTTTGTATATTTCAAAGCAAGAATGTGGAAGTGTCTATCTATTAGTCAGTTAACCGCATTAACATCCTTAGTACAGAGGGAGTCCATTTTAGGAGCATCTATGTGAGGCTTCTGAATTTAACCCCATTGATATCAATGAGATTTAAGCATCTGCTTAAAATTCAGCATGTGATTAAGTACTTTGCTAAAGGGATAGACTTATGTACATGCTGAATTGCTTTACTGAACTGGTACTTAAGTGACATTCCCAGGATCAGTCTCAGGGAGTTTGCATCAAAGCCATCATAGAAACCCATATCTCTGGAATCCTGGTGCATTTTATTAATCACAAGACCAATCAATACAACTAACCCAGTGGGAATTTTTTTTAAAGATCCCTATGTCTATATTGGGGGGGGTGGGGGAACAAAACAACCATGGCAAAGTATGTCTGAGAGCCTGGGTCAACTGACTATGGCTCATGAAGCTCATGCTGTAGGGTTAAAAATCGCACTGTATATATTCCAGCTTGGGCTGGAGCCTGGTCTCTGAAACAGAGGAGATGAATCCTCTCAACCTACTTTCCAGTTTGAACAGAAGTGTCTGTGCTGCTACTTTTAGCCTTCAGGTGTGAGCCCTGTGAGCCAGAATCAGTTGACAGGCTCTAAGACTCATTGCCACAGTTTTGTATGTGTGTGTTTTGGCAATGAAGAGCTGCATAGATAGTACATTCGAGCTCTGGAGAAGAGGAGGTTTCTCTCATGGTTTCTTAACAATTTCCTTGTCTGTTTTTAAGTCATAGTTATAGCTGAGTCATATCCTCACGAGGGAGAAGGGGACTCAGAAAAATCTTCACTATTTCCACATGGCTTATAAAAGTTCTGTGCACTGGAATTGTATGTAGTGGTAGAAATTGAAATTGATCAAAGTAGCTATTATTTATTAAATAATAGTTATTTATTATTAAATGTTGTTAAATAGATTTCAGTGCATTAATTAAAACTAATTTTAAAAGTATTTTCTTTGGTAATAATCAAAATTTATGGACTGCAAGAAAGATGCTGCTTCAGAATTTGAGAATTTGACTTAAGGATATTTATTTAGCATATTTTTAATGTGATGATGATGAACATTTGTGCTTTAATGCTGATAAAGCTTTAACTTCTGAATCTGTGTCTACTTTCATGAAATAATAATTGTCTGACATTTCTTGCATGTCCGAAAATTTAAATTGATAAAAGTTAAAAGGTAAAAACCCATAATTTTGCACAATTGTAAACATTTAAATTAGGACTATCGATTAACTGCAGTTAAATTGCAATTAACTCAACTAGTTAATAGTGACTTAAAAAAACCATGATTAATCAGTTAAACAAGGACATTGTTAAACAATAGAATGCTAATTGACATTTAGTGAATATTTTGAATGTTTTTCTGCATTTTCATATGTATTTTATGTTGTAATTGAAATCAAACTGTATATTTTTATTACAAATATTTGCACTAATAATTATAAAAACAATTATATAAACATAAAATAATATTTTCAGGTTGAAAACTACTACGGGTTGAAACTCTCTTAACTGGGACACTCTGGTCCGGCGACATCCGCAGACTGGTATGACCACGGATGTTCCAGGACAAGAGAGTCCCAGTGGAGGGTAGTGCTAGGGAACCTTGCAAGCTGGCAGGGCAATGGGAGCTCCACACGCAGCAGCAGGGCTTCCCAGGAG